CGCTTCAGTTACACAGTATCTTTGAATTGATAAACAAATCGTTAGAGATATATAATTGTCAGTTTTGAAATCATTTTGTCAAATGAGAAACTCTTTTGTTATTTCCAAATACTTTTGTAGGTCAACTTTGAATACATAGAAAATATAAATGTCTCTGACGTGTACCGTTACCGCTAAAAATACAAAATTCTATTCACTGCAATTTTATTTGAATACACATTTGCAACCTAATTGTAACCAATAAATAAATGAATCTATTTTAATAAACCTTAATACTGATAACTAACTAACTAACTTTCAACGTAAATAAATGTAACAATATAAACTTTAATAATGTTTAGCAAAGAATACAGTTGGAATTCTGCAATCTACTATCTAATTTGAATAGAAATTCAAAACAGTGCAATTACACGAGTGGCTGGTTTAAGACATGCTGAAAATTCATTTACCGAAATTACAGTAAACTTGAAAGTCTACTATTCTACCTTGATTATTATTAATTAACACTAACAGTGTGTAAATATCTATGTCTTTTGTAAATATTACAATTTTATGCTTTTTTATGCGAATTAAATCAGTATATTATGAAACATAAATTTTATCTTTATATTTATTACATGCTTTTAATATGAATATCATATTATGTTTATTCAAATAAAATTACTCGTTTACGGTCTATAATCGTTCGCCTAAATAAAAAATTCTTTTTTACGAACACTCTTATTCATGACAGAATATCGCCAGATATTAGTATACGATTGAAGAAATCATCTACCTATATAGATCATCCCCAAAAATTCCTTATTGGATTTTTATTGCATGTTTGAAACATGTCTCATGCACAATAAAACTTTACTGCAAGTTTATTCGGAATATCTATTTTATTTCAATTTATATAGTTTGCAGAGGTATTGGAGAAATAAACACATTTGCAAAATAGTCAGAGTCATGAATTTTCGAAATAAATATCTCTTATATAAAACTAAAACTAAAACTAAAACGAAAAGTATATTTTTATAATTATAAGAACTATACTTTTATGTAATTTTTCAACGAAAATTTCTACTCATTGTAATATTTCTTTCTACTAAATTTATCAATGTTCAGTATCTCTACAATTTTTCTCCGTTTCGACCTTACGTCTATTAAAATCAATTTATAAGAATAATTGCAGTATATTTCGAGTAAAATCGACAGAACAATATAAAAACCAAGCCCTAAGTACAACTTCTAATTAAAAATTCAAATTTAATCCAGAAAGAAAGCGCATTACCCGCGAGCCCTGTCTGATTCCACCGCAATCACGTTTCAGGATTAAATCCCGCTTATATACACAATTTTCTGTCCACAAGGGAAACCAATTATCTTTACAATATCAAAGGTGTGACCCTTAATGCCTCTGTCCGACTAAAAATCTCATTTGAAAATCCGAGTTCATTAACAATGCTCGCGATCGTAAGTTATCGCGTCCGACATTCCGAAAATCATAAATCCGCTACGATTAACCTCTTTCCCCTTTCGCAATGCGCCTCGTTCCTCGATCTATTCGGAACATTCGGGCGGAGTGACGCGCGAAAAAACTTGTGTTACTTTTTATTATCTGAACACGTTCGTTAAGAGTGATGTGTCTCTAACGGTACACGTTATGTATGTGCATACGATACGCGTATATCGCAGTCGATGGCGATCCCGTGTTGCAGCAAGGTAACAGCCGAATCAGCTTGTTCTATTTCGAGCGATTTTACTCGATGGAAGGCACTATTTACACCCGATCGTTGGAAATATTGAACGTAACAGTAAAGTGGTGTCAATGCGAGTGTAAATGACTGCGAAGTGAAATGAACACGGAAAATGGGCTCTCGACGCTGCTAGGGAAGCTTTTTAATGTGACATTTAATTAATCAACTCGAACGGTATCGTCTAGCGAATGAGTTAAACTCAGAATTGTATCATAATCAGATTAATTGGTACGAATGATATGATCGCCTCATTTTGACAGAACTAGAATAGATTATAAAGTCGAAGAATATATAGAATATAGTTTGCTGCATTAAGAGCGTCATTTTTCTGAACATGAGATGAAAATTTGATTAGATTTTCCTTATCGAACGTTAATTTCTTCATTAAAGAACTGCAATAATATAATTATTGCTTTTTCTGCTATTTGCAAGTCTTGCAGAGACATGCTATTTTCAGTTATTGTTTTTAACTAAAGAAATTTTTCACTTAAGAGTAATAATTAATGAATTATTTAACAGTATTTAATTTAAGTGCGATTTATCCTATGAGACGTATGAGTTTAAGCTAAGTTGCTTTACTACAATATACAAACAGAATGGTAATACATGAAATCATAATAAAACCGCAATTATTTCAAATTCAAACGTAATATAAATTTATACTTTTCATAAAATTTGTCATTACGCGGCATGTGTACTCCAGAAAAGAGATTGTGATTTTAAATTCCGCGAGCTATCCAAGTTTGTATGAGTACATTTCCCAGCATTCAGCAGCCAAGGTTAATTGCAAACGAATTTCAATTGCTCGGTAATGAGGGTAACGTATCAAATAGGAAAAAAATTGAAAACTGTCATTGGAGAGGATGACTCGTTTATTTGAGATTTAATTTGGATTTCTCCTTTTTTGCGGCTACGTACGTGGAATATTAAAATTTGTATAAATAACAAACCATAATTAACAGGAATATACTGAACTTGGTAACTATTGAATTCGTTGCCAATATTAAATGGTAAATGAAGAAAATTCAATGGCAACTTCAATCGTATTTTCTATAATGTAATATATCGTATAATTTCGAAACTGTCTACTGTTTCGATAGTTTAGAGAACTAGTAATAGCTGAACATTGGAACTAACTGAAAACTCGATTCTAGCTGCCGACAGTGATAAACGTGATTAATTTAAAACTCTTCGGACGATTTTCCAATATAAATTGCTCGGCATATAAGATAGAAATAAGGAAGAAAGATTTCTAATTTCCCATCTTCTTAATGTAATAACATTAACAGAAAATGACTATCATTTGGACGTGAAAGACAAAAGTTCGTGGAAAATATTTAATGTTCCTTTGAAATGCGAGAACATGATTATTTAAGCGAAACCTAATGGAAAAATTTTACAAAGGAACGTAAAGATAAATGTTCCATAAAAGTTACAGTTACGTAAATATTACATTTGTTAGATTCAGATAGTAGCACGCCTTTAAAATAATGAAATTGAAAATATGGAAAATTAATTTAAAGGATACATTGAAAAAGATTTTATTATTCTTCTAAAATGAATTTTCAAAAATTTTACATGAAGTTTTCTTTGTTAAGCGAAAATAAAATAATTTCTATTATCCTTCAAAATTCTCATTGGTTTTCAATGGATAAAATTTTCTAGTATTTATATAATATCTTTTGATATTTCTTAGTACTTTTATATTCAATATTCTGATATTCGTTAGTATATTTTCTAAATAGATATGTTGTATTGCTTACATTCGATTAATTGTTATATATTGTTAACGTGGAATCATTCTTTTCAAGTGCATTCAGATTACTCGGAAAATTTATTGAATAAACTGCTGAGTTATTTGTCGTTTTATAATTTATTTAACCAGTCGACTGATTTGAGGTACTCGTTCAATCGCTTTACGTTAAGTAGATGAAATGTTTAATTGTTCGGTACGAGTATGTATATATGTAACAGGTGAAACAGTAACATATGTGTGAGCAGAAACTATAATCCTATGAAGCCATCCGAATTTGTTGCATAGGATACAATAATCTGTTGATACTGAGAAACAGAATATAATTGAGACATTACTGTTTAATTTTTAATGACAATAAATGTTACAAAACCTTGAATCTTCTATATAGCAAACTACAAATCAAGTTAATAATTAGCTACTATTAAAAAATTTACATAAGTTCAGTATGAAATTGGATATTTAAACTATATACAACAGTAACTTTAATATTTCATCAAACTATAATAAAAATATTGATCTGTCAACACTTATTGATAAATACATATGTTATTGGTACCGTGAAATAGTTGATCTTTACCATGCAATAGTTAAAAGAAAATTGTTACTATCTAACTACTATAATTTTATTGGACATTTAATTAAGTATAATTGTCGAACCACTTTACAGAAATATTAATTCCTTCTTTTTAATTATAAAATACAGTAACTCGCAGATTGCATTTTTGTTGTGTTTACATTAAACGAAAATTTGTTTTCATTCTCTTTTTTATCAATATAGAGTGGTGATTCTATAAGCTGGCAAACTAAGCAATTTATAGGCTTAAAGAAAATGATATTAATTATTAATTGATTAATAATTGATGGAGTACTATTCTTAAATTGAACATTTACCATTACAAATTAGTGAATCAGATAAACGACTATTATTAATTTCAAAAAACTAGGAAAATCAATAGCACAAGAATATCAAAACAAACTTTATTATTATATCAAATTCCATGCCACAGAAACCAATATACCCAGCATGTTACGAATTAAAAATTCTAATTCCCGAAACAATTAATTCCATGTCAAAATTCAAAATAGCCAAAACATTGTTCGCCGGATAACCCGTAGGAATTTCCAATTTTCCGAATCTATCGTTAATTCTGAACATATATTCCTCGAACAATTCTGTGAGTCACTGCGCATGCAAGGAAGTAGTACGACAACGCTTCCTCTAATGCAATGAACAAGAAAATTATAAGTATACTTAAGAAACAACAGAAGAAAAGAACCATAAACGAAAAGGCATGCAAATATCAATAAATACTACTCGAAACGAAATAAGCAGAAAGGACGTTCTGTCTATTGGCACTCGCTTAACTCGCACTTCGAATGATCAGAGTACATTTGTAAACACATATGTCTCATCTGTGCTGTGTGCGGTGTGCGTGTTACGTAGAGAGAAGGTCTTTTATGCGTTCGTTACAGAGAAAGAGTGGAAGTTGGTGGTCTGAACTTACAACGTCGATTATTTGCATTAGTGTAAGGCCGAAACTCAACACGAGGGGCTCGGACTCATTGCCCACAGGTCGCTCCAGCACGTTGTACGAGTCCAGCAGGTCGTTTAGCAGCCGTTTCTCGTGTAAACCGCCGTTTACCAGCCCTAACCAATTACCATTCTTGAGTCATTACATTGTACAACCACTTTCAGCCACTCTAAACCACGGCCACCATTGCTGGGCTGGCTTTTTTCGCGATCCACGATGTCGTTTCTTTGTCTCGAAAGTCTTATATCGTTCTCTTATTTAACATCTCCGTCGAACAAGTGAATCGATCGGACCAAAGTCCTCGCGTTTGTATAACAGTGTATCATTGTGAAATAATAAGATCGATTTGAAATAAAAGTCACGGTAAACTGAATTTTGATCGACAGTATCGCGTACGTGGAACTTAGAAATGTTGGCGTGGTTCAAAGTGTATATGTTCGAGACTGTGATGTCTCTTTTAGTAGTTTTGTTTGCCTTGTATACATTAGTAGGAATAATGTAAATGTTAATACCAGAACTACTGTGCCAGTCAAACTGACTTCGGTTTTCTTATTTTATTATTGATATCATAGAAATGGTGAATATACGAAATTATTTAAAAAGTTAGTCATTTTATTCATGTTCTAATGAATATCAGTTGAACTTTGAAAAATCTACTCGTACCATTTTTATAAGAATTATATGTCAATTAAAAAAACGTGAAGAATTACAAAATTTAGAAACAAAAATTATATGAAAACTCAGTTCTAGTGTTAAAGAAAGTTTTGTCTTATTGTTGCCATACGCTTCAATGATTCTTACATCTCTAGCAACCATATTGAAAATTGTAGCAACCATACAGGACTCGGTATCTTATATCAAATGTTGTTTTAACACTAAAACTAGCAGCTAGTCAAAATGTCCCATTCCTTATTTCTTCTTTTTGCAAGTATCAAGAAGGTAACAGATGTTTCTGTACAGAATTATTAGAGAAATTGATGTAGCAACATGCAAATTGAATTGTAAACAAATTAATTTAAGACTTTAAAGTCTCAATAGATTTTCAAGAAGTCAGTTTCACCGCGCGGTAGTTTTAGTGTTAAATAAGTTTAACCATTTGGTTCGGTATTCGAATATTCTAGACTAATTCATTTTCGGCGCGAAACTTAAAGCACGCATATTTATTATTTCAAACCAAGTGACTAACCTTCTTTTTCCTTATATAATCCGAAAATAAATGTTAATAAATAAATGAAATTTTTCTCGTATACAGTGAAAAATATTAATTGCTTCTAAAATTTCATTACACCGCGTAGGTCATCAGTATTTTGACTCGCCGTAAAATGCAATAAGAACGCGTAAATTAATTCACGGAAACGGCAGAGTTGAACTGAAGCAGTAACACGTTCACAGTTTCGTGACGCGAGTTACGACGATACTAAATAAAAATTTAATAATCGCGCGCAGTTAAGGGTAACAAGTGCCGCAAGTACAATTAAACCTAATATCATTTTTCAACGAGTAATATGATATTGTGTAGTCATTTAAAAAAGTCTCCTCGCTACTAATTATTGCTCTTAAAATAGTCATTGTGTTTTATAAGTTTAAACTCACATGACCGAACACTGAACGCGTTAAAAATCGGTGTCGCGATATTAAATTAATGTTGAATTAAATTAATCAAATAAAAATAGTTTCCCCTCTCACGAACTGTGTACGCAAAAAGTTCAAATACGGAAGTAACGTTAGATTTACGAATATCGCACATTTGAAGATATTAAATATTTATCTTATTTCTTCAGATATAGACAGGAAACAAGTAAATACTCGAAATTCGGCATTCAAGATGACGAATTAAAACTATTAATAAATTCGTACGCGACGTACTCAACGTATAATCGCGCCGATGAGAGGCAACATAGATTGCTAAGATAAAACAATATTCATGGAATCTGAAATCCGTCGAATTGACAGGTTCCGTAAATCCAGCGTTAACCGTAGCAGGTCTATTATCGGTGGCTGGCCCTCGTCCTATCGACGTCGTATCGCTTCGCGTCGCCGGAAAGAAACGAAGGGAAAGAAATAAAAGGAGAGAAAGAAAAAAAAGGAGAAAACAAGAGCGACACAAATTTCTGTCGACTGTCTTAGGGAACGTTTATCTTTCTTCGATTTTCGCCGAGTCCCTTTCAGTTCGGTCCTTCTTGGAAGTCACCCCCACGATAAAGTTCTTGGACTACTTGTCTCGAATATACAACTCCGTCACCCCTCGTGTCTATTTTTCCTCTTTCCTCGCTCCCCTCCTCCCTAGCCGGTTCCCCTCTTGCTGTTTGCAATCGCCAATTTTGTCCTTATATCCTCTCTGCCGTTGCTCTTCGCAGTATCATAGTTCAGGAAGAAATGATCGTGCTCGAAGCGTATCAACTCGGTCGCGACGGAATGATCGTTATGAAATATTCCGAAAACGGAACAGAGTGTCTGGGATTATCATAAATTGTTTTAAAATAAAATATTGAAGTCTTTCCATGCTTGCTCGACTCTGTGAGTATTCATTTATTTATGAGTCAAGATAACATTTAACGTTGATAATACAAATAGTTATTCTGACTAAATAAATAATTAATCAATCACTATTATATTAATATTACTTGTGTTTTTGAAGATTATTATATCATTCCTTTCATGTTGGATGCCGTATGTAAATCTTTTATTTAAATTCATTAAAGATAACATTCTTCTTTTGATTTCAGTACGATCATCAGTGGAAAAGAATTTAATTATGTAAAAGTTTAAAAAATATTAAAAGGTACACACCAGGAATTCTATTTTCAGTAAAGCAGCTCAGAACAGTTAACATTCTTATAAATGGTCCATGGTTTTAGAACAATATGTTCCTCACTGTTCATAAATATATTCTTATTTAATCGATACTATTATATTATTCTTACATAATTCATATTTTACGCGCCGTCACGTCTGAAACATTGTATCCGTGATGGGCATGACAATGCCTACGTTTCACGCGGTTTGCTAATCCCGCGCCGGCATACATTCTTAAATGTTACGGCCCTGTCGTTCGCGGCTACCTTTTGGAGGCAATTCCAATTACGAGAATTCCGTTCCATAGGGAAAATTTCGCGTGCTGATCCGTCGTCGCATTTGGCACAAAGCGAACGGTATCGTTAGCATTCATGTTTGCGATGCGGAACACCCTGCATTCAGCTCGCCTCCGTACGCATATACATACATACATGCATAACGTAGGTTAGGCCCCTCGATATAGAACTATCGTGTCGCATCGGCACACAAAGGCCGAAACCGAATTTTAAAGCGTACCGTGACATTCATCGTGACAGCTCTGCAATCCATCGTAACATTTGCGAATCTTCGATCGTCTATTGTTACATTAACGCTACTTTTATCACAGCCGACCAGAAACACGCTCGCAACCTGTCCACTGTGGAATTTTGTTTAAAAACTCTCTGGTTTCGAGCACAATGAAGTAAAAAAATGAACTGTGTACTTGTCAAACGCAGCACGAATGCACCCGGGATATATTCTAATGAAAAACTGAAGCAAAACTAAGAGGAGTCACATATTTATGTGAAAAAATTAAGAATTCATCGTTGAACAAATTAGAATCGTTTCAAGCTTTAAAGTGACGTGTATATTCGTCAACCGCAATTAATTGGTTACACTTTTAACTGTACAACAAAAACAAAAGAAACAATAATAACGACATTTCAGAAAGCAAAGGTACATTTTATTCGGTGTCACCAAATTCAGATCGCGCATGAAAACTATCGCGTAGATAGCGTTACAATTTTCCGCGTAAATCGAGATTCAGGTGTATTTTATTATTTCTTACTGTAGTTTCAATGAAACGGCGCAGATAACAGAAGAAACACATTAGAAAATGAATATAAAAAGTGCTAAATTTCGAGAACATTACGGGACGTTATAAAAATCAGAATCCCGATTTATTTCATACAAGAATTATTACGCACATGTTTATTTACTCAAAACAAATTACATTCAGAATTTCTAGAATGAACACCCGGAAACGCCGCAACGTGGAACGCGTTAATGCGAAATCCTTTCTCCGCGGGGAACGTTAATCACCGTTTTTAAAGCCGAAAAGTAATAAAAAGTCGGTCAAAGCCGATTAGAATTTTTAAGGCCAGTTAATGCGCCCAGACGGACGCGAGCGCGCCCCTTGCCCTTTGTTATCAAATATAATACACAAACAGGCCGGAAAATAATTTCCTTTCGTTTGCACGGCTGACCGCTTCCCTCTTTATCGCGCAAACGAGACACGCTGCTAAAGAGCGAAACATTTTCCTCTTATTGTTTTAGGGGAGCACTCAAAGTAATTGGATTCACGGATGCGAATTGAATATGTAAAGCTAGTTAAGGAGCGGAGGCTTGTTCCGAAGAGTCTCGCGATACCGTTCCTAAAGGCATGCCCCGACTTAACGAATCGACGACGATTCTCACTTAACAGGGGGCATCGCGAGTTTCGGGAACTTGTTCGCCGCGCTGCGCTCTTCGAGATCTTTCTCTGCTTTCCGCGATCTTGTTCGGAAATCATATTCGCGTGTGTATGAATTAACCTGTTAACTGTGGAATTTAGTTCGAAAAATCTCTCGTTACGCGCAATAAAATCGAGAGGTATAGTGTGCATTTGTCAAGTATAGGGCGAATGCGCCTAGGGTATATTTTCATGAAGAACCGGAGAAAAACAAAGAGGAAATGTACGTTTATCTGAAGAAAATAAATAATTCGATGAAAGAATTAGTAGCATTTCAAGCTCGAAGATGACGTAACGAGAAATCTCGTTTTTATACAAAGATTTTTAGCTGTATAACTTTCATAATTACCACAGCATTTAAGAAAATATTTAATTAGATCTATATATCGCTACGACTACCATTAACTTATTTTTTTTACAAAAGTGGACTTGTATTGTTTTTAAAAAACGGCTCACATTGTGCACAGTGATTTAAATAACATTAGTACTATCGCGCCCTTCAAAATGATGGGATTCAGTTTTCGCACTTCCGAATAATTGAAATCTTCAAAATGTAAAACCGTAAAGTTATTCTAAAAATAAATAGTTTCAGTTGAATACTACAATGAA